GTCTTATTTAAGTACTTCACACTTTACAATGCATTTTCAAATTCTCTGGTTTGGTCAACTAAATGGCAAGTGGAAAAAAAATAAAAAAACTAATATCTATTTTGTTATTGTTAATTTGTTATGTTTTTGATAAAAGAAATGAAGACAACATGTAGTACTTAATACTCATCTTCCTTTATTGAATCATTAATTTTTAGCAAAAATAATTTATTTTTTTCTGTTGATTAGATTTGTTTTTATAAGTCCTTTTTTTTTCTTTTTGTTTAGATAAATTAAAGATTTCTTATAGTCGAAGTAGTGGGCCAGGAGGTCAAAATGTTAATAAGGGTAAGCTCTAGAATTAACATCATAATTAGTTTACTCAAAAAAAAAAGGTCTAATGTGAAAATTTTTAACTTTTCACTTCTGTTCACTTTCAAACCATTAAAAAAATGTTATGATCACTTATTTGTTGTGAGATATTAACACATATTTTGGGTGTCAGTGTTATTAGGTAGGTTTCTTAAATATAATAAAAGTTGCTTTTGTAGACTCGTTAATAATGATGATTTTATCGAGGCAAATTTTGTCATGTTTGGTATTTTGTAAATGATTAATACTTAAAATCTAAAAGATATTACCCTACCACTGGTTATTACAAGTTATTTAAAAATATCTGATAATAAGTTAAGAATACAGGTATTAAAGAGTTACTTTAAAGAGAAACTGCTAATGAAATATAGAAATTAGTAGATAATCTCATTATGTTGTTCTCGCAAAGTGTTACTGATTGTGCATGTGTATAGAAAGTGCTATCTAGACCTGCCTTTGTGACCCAAGGCTTTGATAATTGTATCATTCTGAAATGGAAACTTGCGAAAGAGCTCTTGGTATTGTCCAATAACTTAATGAAGTTTATTTTTCTTAGAATGTGTGACACCTGGTCTGATTTGCAGAATAAAATTTTGCCTGTTTTTCATTTTGGCAAAAGCCTTGTTTGATATTTTTGATTCTTGGAAATTCTATATTAGTGAGAGACTTCGAAAAAATATTGCATATTTCTTTCTTTTTCGATTAGTAAACAGATAATAGATCACACACTTGATCTTTCACCCAACAGTTACTAAAAATTGATGGCTACTGAATGTATACCTGTCTCTGTAATAAACTCATAATAGTGCTGATGAATGATTAGATTTAGGCAACTTAATCAATTAATTGGTATAGTTGATTTCCTGTGAGCAGCAACAACATTGAGTAATGTATAAAGGTATCATACAACGATACAAGTATCATATTGTGAAGCCATGATACGATTGTATCTATACATTTTCTGATATGATATTATTTATGTATCTTCATGAAATTTGGCAAGCTTTCAGTAAACATTACAAGTCTTTTGTACAGAAAAAAAATCAGAATTTTCAGTTAAATCTTCATGATATAGCATGCAAATGAGGAATTCATAAAATAGTTTTCTAAGGCAAGGAATACACCTTGAGTGAAGTAAACGTTTCACAGCTAATACAACCCTCAGTCACGCTGAAACAGCTGAGTTTATATATACTGTAGATATGTTGAGCAACAAAACTTGAAATACATTCCTGTCACTTCTTATTTTTAAAGAAATTCAACTTTTATAAACAATTATATGTTGATTTTCCTTGAGATTTTCTCTACTATACTTACAGAGTCTAATTTACAAGTTCCTACTTATAAATAAAATCATGATCTATTTTCTGCAGCACATGTATGACTCTAGGTAGGAACTTTTTAATTACTTGCCCAAGTAAAACAAAATACTTCTGTCTATAATGCATATAGATAAAAAGAAAGATTGATCCAAAAATGTTTGCTAAGAATTATCGTGTTACAATACCACATGACTGCGTTTTACAATATCACATAACCACATCAGTTTCATACTTACAGGAAGAGGAAGCTACAAATATTTCAGTGAGGAAAAAAAAAGATTAGTGTGATTCAAGATGTTTGACATTACTGGTTGTTTG